GCCTAGAACAATAGGGGGGAGAGCAAGGAGACTGTTCTTGGACAACTTCATTATATTAATTCTATCTACTTGTGGCCCCCCAACTTCCTATTTGCTACCCTTCTTCTTCTTGGGACAGTCTTTCATGAGGTGGCCCTTTTGGCCACACTCAAAGCACCTCCCATCCTTTTTCAAGACTTTGTGATTCTTGGTAAGGTCCTTCCCCATCTTCTGAGCAGGTCTCTGGGGTTGACTCCTCTTATCCATTTGCAGCCTTAAGTTATTGGTCTTCATACCTCCATGAGCACTTCCAACTGGATTGGTAGACTTTGTGTGTGAGACATTCTTCATATAGGCTACTGACATACTTGGTTGGAGCTGGGTGGCCAGTGCTACTATGTTATCAATGTCATCTGGTATCTCCAGCTGTTCATCCAGTTTGGTTCACATGGGCTTATCCAAGCCCCATATAAACAGGTTCTTCTTTATTTTTGTGGAATCTTCAAATTCTTCACCAATCTCTGTTGTGAGCTCTAGAAATTGTTGGCAATAGGCATAATCAGTTTCATCCAAACTTTTGTGAAGGCCAAAGATTGCTTGCCAAGAGTTTCACATGCAGTTTGCTGGGTCTCCTAGCCTTGTGTGTAGAAATTCTTTAAGGCCAGTCCAGTTGTTTTTTGATGGATTGCCTTTGTGATGGGCCTCCCAAAGGTCTTTCTCAATATAATCAAGTCCTGTGAGGGCATATGTGAGAGTATCCTCATCATTCAGTTTGCTTGTGTTGTGAATGGATTCAATATCTGAGGTGAACTGGCAATATTCTGTGTAGGTTCCAGTCTGGTAGTGCTTTGTGTGTTGTGGTGGTCTCAAGATCAACAGACACTTTGTGGGTGTTGGGTTGGAGATGACCATATCAAGAAATTCACTTTGTGAGTGCTTTTGGGTGTTCTGGAGAGCATTTAACTTCTCTTGCCATTTCACCATTTTCTTTAGTAGCTTGATCTCCTCACAAAGCTGTTGGATTTTGTCTTTTAATGTCAGGGTAGACTCTCTCTCTGAGTTCGCGGTGCTTGTTTCATTGACAGTTGAGAGAGGTGAGATGTCAAGGTTGGTTGTCTCTTTGTGAACTTGGGTTTGTTCTTCAGGTAGGTTTTCAGCTGGTGTCCCAGGTTTGCAAGTTTCAGGGGGTTGGCTTCTTTGTGTTGATACCATTGTCAGGTGTCACCAAAGAAGAGTGGCAAAATGTGAGGATTGTATGTGTGGATCAGTGTGACAATAAATCTCTAGAAGGAATATACATGGAAAAGAGTATGTGAGGTAAAAGATCTGTATTCTGGCAACTATATATGACTTGTAAACAAGATTGCCACTGGCTTCCAGCAAGGGGTTCGCACAGTGATGGCCTTTTATGTGTGCTCGCGAGCATGTGACTTAGTGCCTTGTGAGAACACATGCAACTCCCAGCAGCTCACAAGCTGAGGCCTCTGGCCTTCACAGGTGCTGTTCATCTGTGTAAGGGGTTCGCGGCGAATCCTTACACAGAATGAATCAGCAGCTATTTAGTAGAAATAAGTTGTGTCATGATTTTAGAAGCAAAGCTTCTACAAGAAGTCTGGAATCTGGCCTTGCAAACTACTTGCTACATTACAAATAGAATCCCTCCAGCTGGAGGTGGAGAATCACCATATGAGCTCTTTTGGAAAAAGAAGCCAAATCTACAGCACCTACAAGCTTACAGATGTATAGCCTACACACATATTTTGCCAGAGGATAGAGCAAACTATAATAAGGCATATAAAATGAAACCCAGGGCTCAACTCAGTCATCTAGTTGAATATGAAGGCAAGAATGGACATATTTATAAGATCTGGATCCCAGAGACTGGCAAAATTATATGTACATGTGATGCCAAGTTCAACAAGGATGTTAATGCCATCCCAGATCTCCTGAAAAAGGAAGATTCTAAGCTGAAGAATAAATTTACAGAACCCTTTGTGATTCTGAGCTTTCCAAAGCAGGAAGTTATGGGAGTGGTGAAGCAAGCTGCTACTAGATTTCTACCAGCTTCAACACAAGAGCCTACAGAGGCACATGCTCAAGAAGCTAATCTGATTGAGAATTCTGAGATTCCAATATCTTTCTGGATGCAGGAGCAAATGCATGGTCCACAGCTTCAAACAATAACACCATCACCTCAGAAGACTCCTTCAGCATCTGAACACATGATGAGATTCCAAGAGCCTGTCCATGAGACTATCAAAGGAACACCAGAGCCTCCATATAATGGAGATAGCAATAATGACTTGATCAAGGGCCAAATCCACAACAAGATGTTCAGAGATGCATTGGAAGAACTGGGACAGAGCACTGAATCCACACCTACACACAAACCAGAACCTACAGCTTCAATGGAGCTGAACCCTCAGCCTGCAAGATGTGTATTGAGCTGTACAACTAAAGGCAAATCACCAAGGCTATATGGAGATTATGCTTCCTATCTTGCAGCTGACCTGCTAGCTTACAAAGTTAAGATTCCATGCAACTACAAAGAAGCTATAACTAGCAAATACACCAGCAAATGGAAGAGTGCTATGGAAAAACAAATTGAGAAGCTAGAAGCTGCCAATACTTGGGAGCTAGTTGAGACAGATTCAATAGATTCTACAGCTAAGATTCTACCTGGTAAATGGGTTTTTGACTTGAAAGTGAATACTGACAGCTACATTATCTTCTTCTGTGCTAGATGAATCATATGCAGTAATTTCCAACACTCTGGCCTTAATTTTGACAAGACTGCTGCATCTGTAGTCACCAAATCAGCTATCAAGCTCATGCTTATAAAAATAGTGGTTGAAGATATGCACTGCAAACAAGTTGATATAGTTACAGCCTACTTGCATGCCATACTTAAACACCATAAGATCTACATGAGCCTTCCAACTGGAACAGAAAGAAAAGGCTTTGTCTGCAGACTTCAGCAAGCTCTGTACAGACTGAAGCAAGCAGGACATCTTTGGCAGGAGATCTTCACAAAAGCTCTTATGGAGATTGGTTTAAAGCCACTAAAGAATACAGATCCATGTGTATTCATAGACAAAGAGTCTGGCCTGCTACTAATAATCTATATTGATGATGCTCTTATTGCTGCTCCTACAAAAGAAACTGTCACTGATTTCAAAAACAAGCTGTCCAATCATTTCCCTATAAAATCTCTAGATAAACTGTCAAGATTTCTAGGTTGCAAAATTGAATGAGATTGTACAAAGTGAATAATCTACCTCTCTCAAGAATTATATGTTCAAAAGATTCTTGCCAAATTCTACATGAGTGGCTTAACAATCCAGACTACCCCTATGGCAGAAGAAGTATGGCTTATACAGGAGCCTGAGTCTAGTTCAGTAGTTGCTGAAAGCATTATGAACTGGCTGCAACAGCTTCTTGGAGCTCTCAATTGGCTCTTGATAAAGAGCTGCCCTGATATTACATTGGCTGTCAACAAACTCCAACAATTTGCTATGAAGCTAACACTAGAGCATCTAGAATATAGCAAACAAATACTGCATTATTTGAAAGGATCTCCCACACTAGGCCTAACCCTCAGAGGCACCCTGAAGCCTGGAATTCCAGAATTACAAGTCTACATGAATGCTAGTCACCAAGACTGCAAGGAAGGATGCTCAACAGAAGCATACATATTATTTTATATGGGAACTCCCATCACATGAAGCTCAAAACACCAAAAGATCATTGTGCTGTCAAGTACAGTAGCAGAATTTTGCACTCTTGATTCTGCCATGAAGGAAGCACTCTGGATTCAGAAGCTCTTACAAGATCTTGATCTTCCAGCAAAAGCTCTAATTCCTATATATACAGATAGTGTGAACACTATAGCACTAGCTCACAAGCCAACATACACACCAGCCACCAGGTGGATGGATATGTGTTGGTTCTTTGTGAAGGAGCTTCTCAAAGAGGAAAGGGTGAAACTCTACCATATACCAGAAATGGAGAATCCAGCAGACAGCTTGACAAAGCCACTTGGAAAACAAAAATTTAAAGAATTCTTACAGATGTTGAATCTCAACAACATGGATTCTACATTCACACTTGCTTGATTAGAATGACACAAACACCAGTGGAAGTGGCATAACCCACAACAATATTATACCAGCAACAGATTTGGAGCTCAACCTCCAATTTGGACTTCCACTTACCATTTACTAAGAAATATTCCACTCATTTGGTTATTGAATCAGCTTGGATCCTGGATTTGTTGGATTTATGTATTTAGAAATTTGTCTTCTCCCAGTACTTGCTGGAGCCTAGGGGGTGGTGTTGAGACACTAGTCTCTATGTAGTTAGTCTCCAGCTTAGCGGCTCGGATCTTCTTTGATCTGATGCAGAGTTTTTGTCTTGCTTCTCATCCCACAATCCTTTGGATGAGAGGAGAGAGGGCACGCACATCTATTGAGTTCACGTTCCGTGGTTCCTATAGCTTCCGCATATGGTTAGTAGCCTCGTAGGTCCTTCCGAGAAAGGTTGTCCTTGCGGAGCTAGTTAGTGCGGAGCAGTAATAATTAGTCAACTCCATATTCTATTAACTTACTCCGTGTGGGCTTGTTAGTTTACTTAACTCCCCCGGAGACTTGGCTGGAATGTTGCTTTGTGCCTCGAGGTGGCGCCGGGTTCGGTTAAAGATCGGCTGCGTCCCTGGCTATGCAAGGGGGCCCCAGCACGCCTAATGATCCCCAAAGCTCAAGCTAAACTTTTGGTCGTTTCAGCCAAACTTACTGATGATTCCTTGATCTTTTCCCCTGAGTTACTTGATACCTAACTTATTGTAACCTCTGAACCACGGCTTCTCGGTGTAGATCTTCCCCCGCGTTTCTTTATTTTTGGCTTTGAGCTTGATTTCCTAAACTTCCTCTCTGGTGACTTGCGGGATGCGCGAACGCTTCATCTGCCATGATAGGGTGACTGGATAGAGCATGCGACTCAGCACAAATTGAGACTCCAACAGCATGACTCTGGGAAACTGGCTTCGATTGAGTCCTGTTAGGATCCGTGCTGAGGTTTGTCCAGCAACCTCATGCTCAAGGCCATCCCTTCGAACCGCGTCCACCGGCCTCCCACCGCGTCGTCGGCTCAGATTTGAACCAGCCAAGATTCCTACCTTTGCGGACTGGCTCTCTAAGGAGGAAAAAGAAATTCAAGACGCGAATCGGAAACGACGTGACAAAGTGCGCGCCCTTTTCTCGGAGTTGCTACACGGTGTACATGCATTCAATCAACGGCGCTGATCAGTTGGTCTTTTACAACAGGACCTGCGATGGGCTTCAGACCGCATTCCCAAATTCCATACTGTGATGGAATCCCACCAGCAATGGCCTTTATTACGAGGTCAGACATTTCCCCTCCCCTCCGATCTCGCTAGCCCCTTCGTACGACCCTCCAAGTGAGTCCTCGCTGCTCACATCATAAACAATCATAGACACCCCATCGGTTCTACAAATCAATGTTGGGAAACTCTGCAACCTCCACTGCCGTCACTGTCATGTGGAGGCGGGCCCAACCAAGACCAAGGAGAACATGAGCCTAGCGGTCCGTGACCTTTGTCCAGAGGTTCGAACGAGCTGACTTAGCAAGGAAAAAAGACGATTGAACGGTGCCTTGAGGTCCTTGCAATGAGGTGAGTAGCCATTTGCGGGATACGGCGCCAGAGCTGAAGGAATTGACTGCGGATGATTTACTCCTCCGAAGCCCATGTATCACAACGGTCGATATCACTGGGGGAGCCCCTGAGCTGAACCCCTATTTTCAAACCCTTGTTCGAGAGGTAAGTGACCTTCTACCTTTCAAGTACATTATTGAAAGGGGCAGTGCTAATACTCTCCCAGGCAAGAAAAATGGGCAAGACAGTCATTGATCGCTGCAATCTTGTCGTCCTTTGGGAACGGGGCCAGGAAGGCCTTGTAAACTTTCTCGCCGAACAAAAGGTGAACATCGTTGCTTCTTTGCCCTGCTACACGGAGCGACCCACAGACCGACAACGAGGAAAACTGGTATATAATGATAGGTTAGTCTGTTCGCCGATCCACAAATGCTGAGCCTCCTATATCCCGAGCTAAACGATCCGCCCTCGGTTTTATAAATATGTAGCATCTTCGCGCTCAAAGCTCTCAACGAACGTGGCTTTGGTAGGCCTTCCCCGCCAACTGGCTCATCGCAGGACGGTTTGAGATTAGATCTTGTTTACAATCCTGCCGATCACTCTCTTCCTCCATCACAGAGCAACCTTGAAGCCGAGTATCGGGAACGTCTGTGGGAAGATCATCAAATCACGTTTACCTCTCTCTACACCTTAGCGAATATGCCCATCCGACGCTTCGCCGATACGCTTCTCCGCACCGGGAATTATGAACCATACATGGAGTTGTTGGCCAACGCCTTCAACCCTCAAACTGTGGATGGACTCATGTGTCGCCACACGGTGAACGTAGGTTGGGATGGTAAGCTTTATGACTGCGACTTTAACGGTGCCCTGGAAATGGGAACTAGGATTGGTGGCCGTTCTCACTTGGATATCTGGGATATCGGTGAGTATCTTATGCCTCTCTGTGCCATGTTGGATATTTATGAGAACTAATCAATATAGACAATCTGGAGGACCTTCGTGATAAAACTATTCGCACTGGGTTGCATTGCTTTGGATGCACGGCCGGCGCTGGCTCGAGCTGTGGGGGCTCGTTGGTCTGAGCTAAATTCTTCTCTATCCTACTCTTTGATGGCGGTGGAAAATTGTCGTGATTATAATGAATCATTGGGCCATATATATATTGTTAAGATATACTGTTTTGGACTTCCTCGAGCGAACCTATTTGCTTGTTGGGACGATTTGGTGGTATTATACACCACGATAACATGAATGAAATGTCAAGAAAAGTAAAAAATGACTGCTCCATACTTCATCTCTTTTTCTCCCTTCACTAGCTTTACATGTTACTTTCCAGATATGCAATAGTTCGGGGATACTCTCGCTTTCTCCCATCACGCTTCATCCACAGCTCTTCCAGATCAGCAGGGTCATCGACATCCCCTAAAACTTCGCCAACCACACAAGATAGCCCCACTTCCCGTAGTCTTTCAATCTGCACCGCGCCAGTCCGCTCACAAGACCAGGGAATATTCCCGAACACACGCTCTGCGTCACATCCCAAAGGTACCGTGAGCAGGGCATACCCACCATCCCGGGCGGGATACATATGCGCCACCTTGGGAGTCGAGGAGATACAAGCCATAGAGGACTCCACCAGAGTAGGCGTAAGATCAAAGCAGTCCATTCCAATAAAGGTCACCGATTGCTCGGGAAGAGAGGCCACGGTTGTCGTCAGCCGATTTCGGAGGTGGATGAGTGCATCGCTTAGTCGGGCCCCCAGATCTGGATGATCGGGCTGCGGGTGGATGGACCAGGAGGAATCGAGAGATTCTTGACGTAGAAGATGGAGAATCTCCTCGTGGGCTGTGGTGGGCGTGTAAAATAATGTCTTTTGGCATGCACTGGGATTAGTCGAGAAGAGGTGTAAGATGTCTATCAGGGCGGCCTGGGCAAAGGTGCTTGCTCCTTCTGCGCCCAGACGGGGGATGAGACGTGTCTTGCATTTTCCAGGAGATGGAAAACGGGCAAAGAGAGCAAGATGGCGACGCGGAGGGTCCATCACAAATGCTAGGAATGGTGAAGGTGACAAATGAACAGAAGTGGAGAGCCGCTTGAGATGGAGTGATTAAATTGTTCGTATTTAACATATCTGTACCATATTGCATCTATGTTTACAGCTAACTCTCTATTACCAGATCCATCTACGGGGGAGTAAATATGGGGAAATCTATGCGGAAATGTCACAAAATGTGCACACATTCCCCAATGCATCCCTATAAACACTTATTGACTGTTAACTCGGATCAACTCCATAGTACCACCGGTAGATTGTTCTTGGAGAAACACCGCACACCCATGCAGTCATAATAAGTTGATTCAAAATTGTGTTGCGAAGGACACCTTTCTGCTTCCATCGTCGCGGACTCGTCTGCACCGCAATTGGCAACACCCTCACTGTCCCATCTTTCACCCTGGTACGAATTCGCCTTAATAGCTCAACGTCCTCCATGATCGGAACATTCGGGAATCCTCCAACGGCATCAAACGTTTGTCGCGTCAGAAAGTAGGCCTGATCGCCATACGGCCAGCCGCCCCGCCGAGCACGCAGATTGGCTCCCCATAGCATTGTCCGCAGCGGCGTGGAGACGGGCGGTGGTAGGGAGAGGGAAAAGGTTGCCAGGGCCGGTGGTTTTGGGGAAGAGAGAGTCGAGAGAATGGCCGCATCCCATCCCTGAGGGAGGAGAGTATCTGCGTGGAGGAATAAGTAGACCGCGGCATGGGGCGCCACGGTGGCCACGTATGTAGCACCGTAATTTTGCTGTGCGCCCCGGGACGGAGGTGCAGTATAGCGCCGCACATGCAGTGTGGGATGAGCGGCCATCATCACACGCAGCTGGACTGGTATCTCATTGCTGGTATCGCGACCTGCATGGACCACTACCACTGTGGGTTCCTTGCGGCCCTCATTCTTCAGGACAAATGTGTCGAAGAGCCGGGAAATCGTTTGAAATAGGAGAGACTCGTCCAGCGAAGGGATGACAATGGCAATCGGGTGATCGACAGGGTGCTCATGATTATCCGTCAAAGGGGAGACGGTGAAGGACGGAGCGGGTTGGTGACGATGGTAGAAATATCGAAATAGGATGATGGCCAGAATGGATGTCACAATCCAAGTGGATGTGGAGGACAACATGCTCGATAGTAGCCCTTGGAGTTTGCGGCCTTTTCCCTTGCCTTGTTCCTGTAGGAACAACTCACTAAGATGTTAGTTATCCATGTGGATAAACTACATAGTGAAACTACTAGCCAAGGGAGCGATTCCTGGAGTCAAACATCTTAGAGCATGAGACGCAGAGGAGACGTGAATCCAGCAAACTCCACAAGAATGAATTGATGAGGAATCAAATTGAATTTCCTATTCCGGTAAGCCGGGACGTCGAGAAGGGGACTTGAGAGCGCTGCAGCCAACACGGCATAGTCTGTGTCGGTAGGGCACTATTCCGAATATAGTTAGTTTAGGTGAGTAAGAAGGCCTGTTAGTCATCGAAAGGCTCGGCCACAGGAGTGGCTTGAAGCCTGCTGGAGCAAGCCGTGAGCGTCGTACAGCACTTTCTGATGGCCAGGTCGATAATACTCCCAGTGACGCCGACAAGCTTTCCAGTCCCACTATCCGTCCCTTGAACTGGTTAGTTATTACCACTGGCTCGACATCCTCTTCATCACCGGTTGCGGAGGGGATATTCCCTCTCCCTCAAAACCGTATCCGCCCTCCTCCGATGGGTCTTTCCCCGTACACGACAGAAGGTATGGGCGAGGTATCTTGACTTCCAACATGATACCCTACCCCATGTAAAGCACCGTGTCCATTCGCGCATTTACCGGGCGATTATCGAGAGGCAGAACCGAAGGCGGCTCCGCCCAAAAGAGCCGACAGTTAAGACGAGCCACCAACGGGGATTGGGCAGGCCGGCCAGCTGGTCTTTGCACGTTGCGGACGGTGGTAAAGGCCGTGTAAAGGATGCCGTGATACCAAACACCGGCGGTCCGAATACATTTGCAGAAATGGAGGCAAGAGGCGAAAGTTGGAGTCTCGAAAGCGTAGACGAAGGCCGAGAGCGAGGATCCCGGAGGAGAAAGGTCTTTGGCTATCTTAGAGCTGCAAATGAGCTTCGCCAGGCTTACTCCGCTCAGTGGTCACAGAGATCTCAAGGTGCTCAAGGCTCGTCCCGTGACGTTCAAGACGATTTCTCGGGATTTGAGATGGCAAGATCCGCGGATGAGGAAATGGTCCTCTTTCCAAGCTACGGAAAGAGGCATGTCAAAAGTGAGACGCGGAATGGCAACGAGAATGATCACGATGGGCTAGACTCGTTTGATGATGATAATACTGATCGGGCGCAATCTCAAGGGATCGAGTACTGGGAAAGCATTTGGCACAGATATGAGGCTGATAACGCAATCGTCGATGTTGATGTTCGGGGTTGGATTTTTTCACCTCAGAAAGAGCCAATGTCCCGTAAAAACCGGCTTTTAATTACTCTCGCGAGGAAAATCAGTGGCATTCCTGCACCAAATCAAACACTTGCTACTGATGGTCATACTTTCAGCCAAGCCGACAGTTCGCTTGAAAACCAAGCGGAGTCGATTGTCAGGAAGCAAACTGACAGTAGCGATAACGGTCAGCCGCTGGGGTTGACCCAAGACGAAATTGCTGCTGCCAATGCCCAGCTAATGGATCGGCTCAGGCCGTTTCTCACGAACCCGGCGGTTGGGATACCTGCGACAATCTTCTTTTTTAACGACATCAAAAGTGAATCGAGAACTGTGCTGACAAACGAGGGAGGTCATTTTGCCGCTAGAGCCTCCTTGGATTTCGTTCCTAGTCATATCAGGGTACTCGCCTCGGAAAACCTATCTGCTACGGAAGAGGTCAAAATCATCGAGCAAAATGGAGTAAGCATAATTAGCGATATCGATGATACGGTAAAGCATTCTGCGATCATTAGCGGCGCGAAAGAGATGTTTCGGAATACTTTCGTGCGTGACCTCGTTGATCTTTCTGTTCCCGGGGTCAAGGAGTGGTATTCACAGATGGCGCGCATGGGAGTTGACATACATTATGTTTCAAACTCCCCATGGCAGCTATATCCTCTCCTGAAAAACTACTTCAGTCTGGTTGGCCTCCCGCCCGGCTCCATTCACTTAAAGCAATACTCTGGTATGCTCCAGGGCATTTTCGAACCCACAGCAGACCGAAAACGACCCACCTTGGAAAGAATTATTCAAGATTTCCCCAGCCGGCAGTTCATTCTTGTGGGTGACAGTGGTGAGGCGGATCTTGAAATTTACACGGATCTTGTCCTCGCCAATCCTGGCAGGATTCTTGGTATCTTTATTCGTGATGTGACAACTCCGGGCCCAAATAATTTTTTCGATAAGTCTATATCGCACCTTGAAAAGCCACTGCCACGGAGGACCACCTGGGATGAAACATTGGATTCAGAAAAACGTAGACCACCTCTACCACCAAGGAAGCCTCAACAAGTTCAAGCAAGTTCTGATGAAGCGATGATTGGCAATCTGATTGAGCTTGAATCAGATGAAGATACATATCCTCTAGATATTATGTCCCGAAAACCATCCAACACTAAATCAGCACCACCCACACCTCCTGCTAAACCTTCGAAACTTCGTGGCGAATCGGTTGAAACAACAGGCTCCCAAGAGCCAGAGTTCTTGACTGTTATAAGAAGGAAGCCTGTTCCACCACCACCTGTCAAACCCAGTGCTTTGTCAGTTGGCAAAGGCTTTAGCGAACCGAACTCTCGGACCTCATCTTCCAGCAACGTCTCGACCTCAAATCTACCTCGCGCAAAGGACTTACCACCAGTTCCCCCACCTCGAAGAAGTGGAACAAGTTCCTCCATAAAACAACAATCAGAACCCCCCAAGCCTTTGCCGGGGAATAGTGGCACACAGCACTTCGTACCGCCAATGTCACTGTCGGACAGACCGTTCAATCCCCCATATGCTTCATCGCCCTCGCCCATACACCCCACATCTCGAACAAGCACTCCACAGTCTTTGTCGTCGTCTGATA